CAATTTATACAGTAGTCCTGATCTCCAAACTGTATCAAAACATTTTTTCAGGTCAATGAAAGAGCAATAAAGTGGCTTATTCATTGAGTGGTATTTTTTGACCATGGTATGCAGTGTTAAGATATGGTCTGTTCTATGTTTTTTCCTGAAACCAGCTTGGTTCTTGTGAATAATATCATTATCATGTAGATACTGGTTTATTCTGTCATTTAGAATCATGCTGAAGATTTTTCCTATTGCACTGTTATTAGTTATTTGGATTTAGTGAATCATCTTTTTTGTGAACTGGTGTAATGGCATTAATGTTCCATATTTCGGGGTATTCTCCTTTCTCCATTACATGGTTGTATAATTTATGAAGGGCTGCAATAATATGTGGACTACTGAATTTAAGCATTTCAGCTGGTATGCCATCATAACCAGGTGATTTCCCTGTTTTTAGCCTCTTCAGAGTTGTCTTAATTTCAGACATAGAAATCTCTTTATTAATGCTGGAATTGAGATTGTCCAGATTTTCAAAATTGGTCAATACCTGGTGTATCTCAGCTTGTCTATTCTCTGGTATATTGGAATTATTACTGATAGACTGGAAATGATGTATCCACTTGTCATAGGGGATATCTGAAACTGGACTTGTACTTCTTGATTTGGTATATGTCTTGAGTAAATTCCAGAATTGTGTCTATGTGTCCGTCGCGTGTCTATTTCACACTCGTTCAATCAGGCGTCTATCACCCAAAGAAAACAGACATTGCATACACAATACATACACTCATTTATTGTATACACAGGAACTGAGGCAGCCCCAGGACGGTGAACACATGTGGACACGGGAAGCACTGCACACAATAATTGACAAGTCTCAAAAAGCCAATGCGGCTTCTATTACAGGGTTTTGCAAGTTTCAATTGTTGTTAATTTTGACTTGATACATTGTAGCAAAGTCGGGGTGCGGCTTCTATTAAAATTGTGGCTTCTATTACGAATTTTACGGTACCTGACAGGGATATGCAAGCATCTTGACACAGGGAATTCACCAACATTATCAATAGAGACAAAATTAGAATATGTAATCCACACATACCTTGGTCTCCCCAGTCTTCATTCCAAGAGTTGGCAACAAGCCAATAATCATGTCCATCTTCATTTCCCCATCCTAGTATCTTAATAGCATGACCACCAAGTGCTTCACCAGTCTCATGTTGATATACACCTTGTAACATAATTCAAGATAATGCATACTTAGGCATTCCGTAATGACAAGCTAATATGAAACGTGTTACAAAGTGATGTGGCATTGACCATTTCTTTGAATTACGTTTATTTCAACAATATTTCAGAATGATGTATCATATCCATTTGCCACCCTCGTATCATTGAACTACAATGCCATGGCGATGAACATGATGCACATATGATTAGGATGCTGTCAAGCTTGCTACGGTCAAAAATAAAAAAAATATTCACTGCACGTCATTCACACTTTCACTTGCATAAATGCTGCTACTGATACGTGGCAATAGTAAAGATAATAAATTTGAGACGATGCATCACTGTTACGATATCCAACCCCAGCCACATGTAACACAAAATAAAACTGCTATATGCCGACTAGTGTACATTTCCTAATGTGCACAAGGCCAGTTAGACAAGGAAAGTATTGAAACTTGTATTATCTAAAATAAATATGTTTAGTCATTTGTTCATCTACTGTTAGCGTGACTGTGGAGGCTAGATTTAGTAGTGACGTTAAAATAATTAATTTTAGAGAAAACAATAATTGTCATGAGTTAGCTGTGAACCAGCGTGTGGGCACACAGTTACGGCATGAATTTGCCACTGTTAAAAAGCCAAGAAAAAGCCAGTAAATTAATTCGTACTGAGTCACATGTTACATTATTGATTCGTCATCGGAAACTCTAAAGATCGCCTGATCAGAGTCTCATTTTTGTTCTATTTACCGTCACATGCTGCGCTATGTCTGGAATACACTCTTTATCACCAAGTAACAGTAAACAATACCATGGAAGGTACTAATGGAAGGTACTAATGGAAGGAGCCACGACACCTCTCAGGTGGCCACTTAAACTTCTTAACAGGCTTATTTTCTTTTGCCAATTTTTTTAATGTGACCATAAAATATATGCGCATTATGAAACTACGGTCATTATACATGCGCATTGGGTTTTGTTTAGTTGTGAAAGGTCAAAATACCTATTTCACAACCGGAAATTCAACAGATTGACTTCACGTATTTCACATGTTTTAATTATTAGCAACTGTAACAAGAACAAGATTTTGAGTGTCTACAACAAAAATTCATCAAAGTTCGCCAAGATCCTCGGAAACAACAGCATTCAAACTAGACGTCATTTTCAGTATTGTACATGCGAGGTTAGTCTATCGCTTCCGAACATGCTTTGAATATTACCGAATGCTCGAGACTAGCGTAACCCATTGTACAAAGGTGCTGAGATCTAACGAGAACCAATGTTTGTGAACAAACATTGACAAACGATCATGGGGTGAAGCTAAAACAATAGCGTCATGGCTCCTTCAGTTAGTACCTTCCATGACAATACTAAACACAGTATACATATCATTAAGGTAGAGATGCAGGTTCGTGGGCATTTTTCGTGATTTTTTTTTTTTTTTGCTTTTTCTCACCCAGACAGTCTTGGCTAGATAGTGTTAAAATTTCGAAGCATTGTCATTGTTGGAACATACTCAAATATCAATTTTAAATTATAGGAAACCG